GGAATGGGACTGGGATGGACTGGGAGGGACTGGGATGGACTGGGAGGGACTGGGATGAACTGGGATGAACTGGGAGGAACTGGGAGCACTGGGATGAACTGGGAGTGAACTGGTCCAAACTGGTCCAAACTGGTCCAAACTGGTCCGAACTGGTCCAAACTGGTCCGAACTGGTCCAAACTGGTCCAAACTGGTCCAAACTGGTCCGAACTGGGCGGCAGGACCGGCTGTACTTCGTGATGGAATACGTCACCGGCGGCGACCTGATGTACCACATCCAGCAGGTCGGGAAGTTCAAGGAGCCGCACGCGGCGTGAGTGAGGCCGGAATTCCCGGAATTCCAACCCCAAATTCCCGGGAAATCCTCGGGGGATTCCTCGGGAAAACTCCAGGAAGGGAAATCCCGGAAAAATCCCCGGGAAAATCGGTGGAAATTTGGGAAAATTCCTCCAAAATTTGGCTCAAATTCATCCAAAATTCACCTCAAAATTCGAAATTTTGGGATTTAGCCCGAAAATATTCTCAGGAAATTCCGAGAGTTCCTCGGAATGGATCTAAAAGCAAAAAAAAATCCCTGGAAAAATCCACTTTGGGAAGGTCAGAATTCCCAAAAATCTCCGTGGAATCCTCAAAATTCCCAAAAAAATCGGAATTTTCAACCGAAAAATTTCCCCCAAAAAATCCCAAAACATTCCCAAAAAATTCCAAAAAAATTCCAAAAAACTCCCCCAAAAATTCAAAAATAATTCCAAAAAAAATCCCAAAAAAATCCCCCCAAAAATTCCCAAAAAAATCCCAAAAAATTCCCAAAAAATTCCAAAAAAATCCCCCAAAATTCAAAAATAATTCCCAAAAAATCCCCCCAAAAAATCCCCCAAAAAATCCAAAAAAATCTTAAAAAATTCCCAAAAAATCCCCCCAAAAATTCCAAAAAATTCCAAAAAAATTCCAAAATAATTCCCAAAAAATTCCAAAAAAAACCCCCAAAAAATTCCAAAATAATTCCCAAAAAATCCCCCAAAATCCCCCCAAAAATTCCAAAAAAATCCCCCAAAAATCCCCCGAAATTATAAAATAATTCCCAAAAAATCCCTTCAATAATTCCAAAATAATTCCCAAAAAATCCCCCAAAAATCTCCCCAAAAAATCCCAAAAAATTCCAAAAAAATCCCCCAAAATTATAAAATAATTCCCAAAAAAAACCCCAAAAAAAATCCCAAAAAATCCAAAAAAAACCCCAAAAATTCCTAAAAAATCCCGGGGATTTTTCCCAAATTTTTTGGCATTTCCCAAAATCCCTCAAATCCCAAATTTTTCCCGATTTTTCCTGAGTTTTCCCATTTTTTTTCCCCAGTTTTTACGCTGCTGAAATCGCCATCGGCCTCTTCTTCCTGCACAACCAAGGGATCATCTACAGGTGAGCCCCAGAATTCCCAAAAATTCCCAAAATTCCCAACACAACCAAGGGATCATCTACAGGTGAGCCCCAGAATTCCCAAAAATTCCCAAAATTCCCAACAATTCCCAACAATTCCATGAAAATTCTTCTGAAAAATTCCGGAAAATCAAAAAAAAAATCCCGAAAAAATCCTCAAAAAATCAAAAAAAATCCCGAAAAAATTCCACAGAATTCCTAAAAAATTCCTAAAAAAAGATCCCCCCAAAAATTCCCAAAAAATCTCCCCAAAAATTCCCAGAGAATCCAAAGAAATCCCCCCCAAAATCTCCAAAAAATCCCCCAAAAATCCCCAAAAATTCCAAAAAAAATCCCCCAAAATTACAAAATAATTCCCAAAAATTCCAAAAAAAATCCCAAAAAATTCCGAAAAAAACTCCCAAAAAAATCCCAAAAAATCTCCCGAAAATTCCCAGAGAATCCAAAAAAATTCCCAAAAAAATCCCCAAAAATTTTCAAAAAAATCCCCCAAAATTCAAGAAAAATCCTCAAAAAATTAAAAAAAAATCGAAAAAAAAAATCAAAAAAAATCCCAAAAAATTCCCAAAAATTCCCCAAAATTCCCAAAAATTCCCAGGAATTCCCTGCATTCCCATTTTTCCATCTCCAGGGATCTGAAGCTGGATAACGTCAGGCTGGACCAAAAAAAATCCCAAAAAATCCCAAAAAAATCCCCCAAAAAATCCCCCAAAAATTCCAAAAAAAATCCAAAAAAATCCCAAAAAATCCCCAAAAATTCCCAAAAAATTCCCAAAAAATTCCCAAAAAATTCCCAGGAATTCCCTGCATTCCCATTTTTCCATCTTCAGGGATCTGAAGCTGGATAACGTCAGGCTGGACCAAAAAAAATCCCCAAAAAATCGAAAAAAAATCGAAAAAAAATCGAAAAAAAATCGAAAAAAAATCGAAAAAAATCCCAAAAAATTCCCAAAAAAATCCCAAAAAATTCCCAAAAAATTCCCAAAAAATTCCCAAAAAATTCCCAGGAATTCCCTGCATTCCCATTTTTCCATCTCCAGGGATCTGAAGCTGGATAACGTCAGGCTGGACCAAAAAAAAATCCAAAAAATCCCAAAAAAATCCCCCAAAAAATCAAAAAAAAATCCAAAAAAAATCGAAAAAAATCCAAAAAAAATCCCAAAAAAATCCCAAAAAAATCCCAAAAAAATCCCAAAAAATTCCCAAAAAATTCCCAAAAATTCCCAGGAATCCCCTGCATTCCCATTTTTCCATCTCCAGGGATCTGAAGCTGGATAACGTCATGCTGGACCAAAAAAATGCTCAGGGCCACGTGAAAATCACCGATTTCGGGATGTGCAAGGAAAACATTTTCCCTGGAAACACCACCCGGACTTTCTGTGGAACCCCCGACTACATCGCTCCAGAGGTGGCCAGAATTCCCAAAATTCCCGAAATTCCCGAAATTCCCGGGATTTTGGGGGGATACAGCAAAAAAAAGGGAAAAAATTGGATTTTTTGGGGATTTTTGGGGATTTTTGAGGGATTTTTTTTGGATTTTTGGGGTTTTTTGGGGGGGTTTTGGGGATTTTTGGGGGTTTTGGGGATTGCTGGGATTCCCAGAATTCCTGGAATTCCCAAAATTCCCAAAATTCCTGAAATTCCCGGGATTTTGGGGGGATACAGCAAAAAAAAGGGGGAAAAATTGGGATTTTTGAGGATTTTTTGGGGATTTTTGGGGTTTTTTTGGGTTTTTTTGGGGGGTTTTGGGATTGCTGGGATTCCCAGAATTCCTGGAATTCCTGGAATTCCCAAAATTCCCGGGATTTTGGGGGGATACAGCAAAAAAAAGGGGGAAAATCGGATTTT